TTATTAGTAATAATAATGGTAATTATCATTAATTATTCAATTATTAATTTTAAAATTTAGTATCAATATTAACATTAACATTATTAACATATTTATAGTTTCTCATCTAATGGATATAAATATTTAGATTATTTGAAATTTTTTTTCATTTGATGTCAATATGCACAAAATCATGTATTTTTGAAAAAATAAACATTATTTGTTTCTTACCTTTTCAAATCAATGAATTCATTTTTTTATAGTATTGACAAATTGAAGTGATGTATTATCAATATATCATATAATATAATATATAAATAATTTATTAATATTAAAAATCTTAAAATTTAATATAGTTGGCTTTGGTCTAAAGACCTCCTAAATTTTGGGCAAATTTTAAAAGTATAGAAGTCACTTTCTGTCCTACCTTTTTAAAAAAATAGCTCTATTAGTTGATAGAATATGTCTTTAGTCACTTATTTGATGAGTGTTACTTACTACCATAAAGGGACCCAAGGACAAGCACATTCGATTATTACCCCTAAAAACAAAAGAATTTGCAATGATCCTCACATGCCAACTAATCAGAAAAAGTGTGATGAGGCTATGATAAATCGGATGATTTAGTGTAGTGGAAATAGAAGAATTGCATCCAATGATTTCTGCTTTTGATCATAGGTATAGATTTCATGGTAGAATAACATTATGATTATATAATATTGAGATTTGAAGAACAAAAAAGAAAGCTACTATACAACAAATTAGCGGGAGAGTTTCTATAACTTCTGACATGTAGACTGCTAACGATAATAAAGCATTCTTTAGTCTCACGATTCATTACGTTAAAAATGATTGGAGGTTAAAAAGTTTTTTAATGTATATAATTCTAATGTTAGCTCACAACATATATAACCAGAGCCATGATGGAGGCATTAGAAGAATATCAATTTGGTGACAATGCTACCATAATGGTAGCTTATCGTCGTTTTTTTATCCAAAAGAACTAAAAAAATTACAATAATGAAAATGATAAATTTTCACATTATAGATGTGTTTCCCACGTTTTGAACCTTGCAGTGCAAGAAGGTCTTCAACTTATTGATGAACCAATAATAAAATTTAATGTCATATCTTTGATATTCAACACCTGCAAACAACCTTTCGAAGAACTTACGTGCCATAAAAGAAATCAGTTACTTACCATCCTGAAAATCGACATTGTCACTCGCTGGAATTTGACATTTTATATGTTGAGAAAATTCATATGTTTACAACCAGCATTGTGGTGCTTCAAGCCAATAATAATAACTTTAGAACCAATTGTTCAGCTTCACCTTATTCCACACATGGCGATGTCAGATTTTGGGGGGTTTGAACGTTTTGGAAGACTTAGAAGCTCATTGTAATGATGACGAATTTACTCAATGATTGCAAATAGCATTCATCACAAATTAGGCGAATATTACCTCACAAATCTCTTCAATTTTAGATCCTCGATGTAAACTATCAGTTTTAAAGATAATGAAAACGAGAATGTAATAAAAAATTTAGTTTTGGGATTATCTTCATAATGATAAAATACATGATTGCCTTTTCATCTAGTAATACTACTACAGTTGATTTGCATCAAAATACAAACTCTAACTTAGTCACTTATATACATTACTGATATATATTATTTATTATAGTGTGAGTTAACTAAGCATTTGGGTGAATCAATAGAGAATAATATCGATCCTATTTCATGGTGGAAGCTGAGTATCCAATTCAGATTACCATAGTTCATGGCTGTCTACTGTTCGAGCAACAAGTGTTGCTTCTGGACAAGCTTTTTCTAAATTGTGGATTAAAAATAAAATTTGTAATCACACAAAATTTTATTTATTATTTTTATACATTAATATGTAATTCACGTTCAAAATACTACTAATCTGGTCTTAATCAACCCAAAGACCGCATCATTTGTTTCTCCAAAAACCAGTCTTTGAGATTGAGGCCAGACTAATACAGCTCTAATATTAACTTAAATGTCAGAATTGTCAAACGGTGGTACTAAACTTTATTCTACCATAATCATAATTGCACAATTTTGTGGGTTCAAACAATACTAATTTGCTTGGAATATTTTATATACTGTATATAAATATTTCAAGACTTGTATTTCATTATTATACTAAGTAAACAAAGGTCTAAAAATCTTGCCAATTATAATCTTTATGCTAAACATAATGGGAATTCGTTTTAAAATTTAATGCAGACATTTTCCAGGGTTCTCTGGCCAAATTTAAGTTTTCTTCTTATGGTTAAATGAACGAACCATTGTTACGTGACTATCAACACCAACTGATAGTATCAATGATAATTCTTATTACATATAATAATAACATTTGTCTTCAAAAAATAGATCTATGGTTAAACGAATCACTGTTACGCGACTATCAAAGTTATCAAAGTTCTAATCTTAATAGAAATTAACAATGGATATTATATATAAAATAAATTATATAAATTATTAAAAAATACATTAAAATGTATTATAATAATTACACAGAAATCCTACATAAAAAAAAAACTTCCTACTATGCTTATGTGTTGGGTAATTGCTTTTATAGGTGAAACTGCTGTCGAGGAATCATAAAGATTTTGATCATTACGAAAGAAAAGAAAGAAAATTCTGACAAAGTTTTAAAGTCTTTTTTCAACATTTCTTCATCTTAAAATTCAACGTTATTTATATCATATAGTATTCAAAACATGTAAATATAAAAATAAAACAAGTTATTATAACCCGACTATAACCTATTATTTTATAACTTGATCCTCATATATCCGAAAAAGAAAATCTTTCAGAAAATATTTTACATCAACTTGGGAGTCACGTTTGTGCAAACATTTTTGGAGTCGTTTTTCATATGAAATTAAGGATCAGCAAAATCTACATTCTTGTCAAAAACCACATGATTTTTTGCGGAGGATTGTATGAGAGATGAGAATATTTTTGAATGAGCTTAGTTTTAGTTTTAGTTTTTAATTTCCGAATTATTATTAATTGTTAATTATTAATATTTTTCCATATACTTCTTTAATATATATGAGAGAGAATTTACAAAAAAAAAAAAGACTATAAAAAAGTGAAGGGGCGTGTATAAATTATACAAATAAAGATAAATAAATAAATAAAACAATATATAAATCATTTTATTATTATTTTATGAAAAATAAATTTTTTAATTTTAATTTTAAATAAAAATTTAATTAAAATAATGTCGGTTTTATCATGCAAAACAACAAATTGTCCAAATTATAATTTTTACGAGAGCATTAATAACGGTGACAACGTCAATAATGATAATGGCAACAGCAACAATCATATTGGAGGATGGCGATATTCATTTTCAAGTTCTTCAAATATGAATAATCGAAATACCGAATTGTGCGTCGCATGTAAAAAATCTAAAAAATTGGAACGACAAAAAAAAACACGCAGTCAAGTTTTGATTAGTAAAGGATTAATGAATAAAACAACTTCAATCCTTACGAATACTGCTGCTAATAATGGAGGAGGAGTAGGTAGAATCGGCGAAGAAAATAATGATAAAGATGGAGATGATAAAGGATTTGCAAGTTATCAAGATTTTGTTAAAAAATTTGAAAATACGAGTATAGGAGGAATGTACAGCAATAAACGAGGAGGAACCGCTCTTACAAATAATAATAACAAAAATAACAATAAAAGAATAAGCATTGCTGAATTTGATGGAAGAATTTATATGATTAATAATAATAATGTTGTAAAAAATGGCAATAATGATAGTGATGATGATAGTGAAAATATTGTTGAATTTGAAAAACATTCATATTACTGTGAATGTGGCGGATCCGGTATAGGTTGTCAATGTAGTACTAAATGTTTTTGTTAAAAAACCCCCCATTTTACTTTTTTTTAATTCTTAATTCTTTAATTCTTCACAAATTAATTTATCCACATTAAGATTTACTCAAAATATCTTAATATCTTTTATTATGTAAAATTTTTTGTAATCATTCATTGTCATTATTATATTGTTAAATATTAATATTAAATAAATATTACGTTATTATTATTATATTGCTAAATATTAATATTAAATAAATATTACGTTATTATTATTATTTTAATGAGTTGCACGAAAATATATTAATACAAAATCGTCAATTAGTAAATTTTGTCCCCCCGCCGATCGTCAATAAAATCTTGTGTATAATTAATATTGTTGTTGTTTATCATCATTAGTAGAAGAACTACCATTTAACTGGATAAACACTTTGTTGTTGATGATGACATTATTATTGTTCATCATTATTAACAGAAACTACTTTTAAATTGAGTTTTCTTGTTTTCATTTCTAGCTCTATTCACAAAACTCTAACGTTTTTATTTATTTGGAATTTTTTTTTTGGAATTTGTTATTAAATTTGTCAGTGGAAACAAGAAGAAACAACAAATTTGTTGTTCCTCCATCTGTTCAGTTCACAAAGCTAAAAAAAAAAATTAATGTTTATCATGAAATCATTAGTTCTGAAGGAAGTGAAATGTTATCATTGGATCTAGTATTTTCTTGATTAATTAATTCAAGATTAAAGCTTCTCATGAGCTGGCTTGCAAGCTGGCTCATGCAGAGCCTCATTCAAGATACTCTTTTCCTATTTCTGGGTCACATCCAATACAATGATTTGCTAAATGAGCCACAAGTCTCCCATGTTGAAATTTTTTTGGGACAGTATAAACATTTAGCAGAAAAATGACCTTTAGAATTTCTAATATGCTCTTTAATAACATGTACCCAACTTTAGATGCTGGTCTTCCTAATTGAGAGAAGGACAAATTAATTACCTTCAACATTTACAAATTGAGACTAACTATCTGAGATTTCAATGAAGAACAATGACATAAATTTAAGAGCAAAAATTTATTTGTCAAATGTGATGAAATTAACAACAATTTGACAAAAAATTTCCTGCTTACAAAAAACATTTCATCAGGTATCATTATTTGTAACTCAGACACTATTAAGTTCACCTGATTACATTTCCCACCTTTCTATATTTTTTTACCATTAGCCTGCCTGGAACAATTAGAAGTTTCTAGGATCCTTAACAAACCACGATTTTTTGTCACTTGACCTCACCAGTAAATTTTTTCTGACACAGATTTACATAATTATTACACTATTTATGTAAGTTTATGGCAGGCCCATAATATTATGCAAAAATTATACAAAAATTATGCAATTATTACATTCAATGTAAATATTACATAATTTTTTATGCAAATATTACAACTTTACATATTAAAGTTTATAGATATAATATTATAGCAGGAAAATTTACTGATGTTATCTATGAATTTTTCAAGGATCCTGATACAAACATGAACTGAACCATCCTTATTTTTTAAAAACACATGTTAGTTTTAATGTTCATTTAAACCAATCATTAAATGGTGTGAGCATGTGTGTATTTTAAGGTTTCTGGCCAAAACTGCTTCTATTAGTAGCCGAAATTGCCCAAATACTTTGGGCAAAAATTATTTTTTTATAAGCCCAAACTACTTTTTGTTATTAGCCGAAATTGGGCGAAATTATTTTAAAGTTGTTTAAGTTAAAACAAATTGATTCATATAGTTTTTTAATGTTCATGCTTATAAAAATGTTGAGAAGCCCAAATTGCCCAAACTAGTTTGGGCTTTGAGAAAACAGTTTGGACCAGAAACCTTAGTGTATTTGAGATCTCAACTCAAATCCCAATACTTACTCTCACTAGATAGATTTTCCTGTTAGCCACCAGCCACTAACTGTTTTGTTATTTTCAGCAAATAACCACCATCAATGCAGATAATCACTATCAATAAGTATAAAGAAAATGAAATACATATATACAAGAAATATTTACAATTATACCACTTGATGCATAGTTAATTTAAAAGGGGTCCCTAGCTAATAATTAAAGGTTGGCCAAACAATTAATCATTAGAAGGATTATGAATCAATTTACAATAGCTCTGCTTTTTTAACTATCTAACAATTTGTAAATAAGAGATAATAATTTAAATGTGTTTATTTCAATGATTATTCCAAAGTTATCTATCTGAGTTATTTTCTTGATTTGAAAATTTTATTTTAACTATAGTGAATTCAAGATGTTTAAATACTTATAAAATTCCATTTTGATGACTAATTGTAAAGAGTTTAGGCACTCCTCTTGATATTATCATAGGAACAAAAAAGCCATGTAACAATTACAAAGAAATGTCAATATTATTAAATAATTCTCATCAGTAAATTTTCCCCACCATAATATTATGTCCATAAATTTTAATATGTAAAGTTGTAATATTTGCATAAAAAATTATGTAATATTTACACTCAATGTAATAATTGCATAATTTTTGTATGTTTATTTGCATAATATTACATGTCCACCATAAACAGTGTAATAATTACATAAATCTGTATCAGAAAAAATTCCTGATGCTGTTGTGCAATGATTCTAGTAAAGGAACCTGCTACTATCTCACAATTGATATAAACTTTTATCAAATGTGTGTTAAAAAATAGGGTTATCAGTAAATAAACTTTGCCAACCCTGAATTTACTTTTTTATGGTTAATTATTAATTGGATACAAGATATGGTCCTAATTAATATACAGTACATGCATCCCAAATCGTTTTGTTAATGTCAAATATTCCAATCAAAAATAATTATGATAATATTACATATGTGTAACATTAAATTATTATATTGGGTTGCATGTATATATACTAATTAACAATTAGACTTTGTTTATTATGACATCCTATAAAATTTATTACAATTAACATAACTTCTCATTTGAGTTTTTTTTTGTCTAATTCAAGGATTATCAGTCTCAAAACACACAAGGTTTATCCTTTGATGGGAAATGATGGAGGAAACTTAGGAGAAGGACAGATTTATGAGCAATGGGTTGTGTACCAAAAGATTAACCTTATCTCCTGGGGCCCAAAAGGCAAGGTTAGTATTGATCCTCAAATGAGGGATTTTTTCTCAAATCGCAGGAGGTTTAGTGACTAAGTGTCATGCACTATAAAAAAAATGATTTAATTAATTCCAACTGAAAAAAAATTATTTAATAGTAATATTTATGAAATTTTTGTTTCCAATAGTTTTTATATAAGTGACATTTTCTTTATAAGAATCAATCAATACTATGCAAAATGAAAATGATTATTAGTGTGATATTAAATAATTTTGGTCCCCTGAAATTTCTTTGTGACATAATGTTCATTTTGTCCAATTCCATCATCATATAAAGGATGTCATTCATTGCCACAAAAAATAGAATACATACTTTTTTTGCAAAGGTTGACAATCAGCAATTCAATTAATTATTATCCAAGTCTGCATGCATTTCCTACATAGAAAAGTTTTATTCATCACATCACACTAAACCGTTTTTTGAGACTGTTTATTAATATATAAAAGCATATCATAACTTTGTCCCTTCCCTTCCACTCAAGGCTGTTAATTGTAGAAAGTGTATGAAGCGCATATATGTTACACATATGGGTGCGACAAGCAGAAAGGCAAACAAAAAGATCTGCTGCATTTGAAAGTATTTTTACAACTTTTAAACTCAATAATTTATTGGACCAAGTGGGTATGATTTCTAAGCTGACAATATTCTTCAAGGCAGAATACATAGATGCGACATTAACAATTGATAAAATTCCAATGGGTTCCTTTATGCTTGTATCCCATACAGGGTTAAAAACTGTTGTTCCACGAAAAGTGGAGAAGCGTAATACAAACTGGTTTTTTTCTTCGACTTTTTTTTTTGAAAAAAGAAAACATAAATATCCACAATACATGTACAATAGATTATATCACATAATAAATCTAGAAGACAGTTGTAAATAATATTAAAATTTTATAATAATTATTATTATTTCATAATATACGGTAATAATCATATTAATCATTATAATTTATAAATTTTGTTCCCCCCCAAGATTTATATATACATACATTTCTTCTTTTTTTTAATTCTAGAAATAAACTTTATAAAAATATTTAAACAATGAAAATTATAGAAAAATGTCTTTCAAGGCAAGAAGCAATTTTGAATTCGCTCTTATAAACTTCAACAATTCAGCTACAAAAGTTTACAGTCCACCATTTGCTACTTCGTTTGATACATTTTGGCAATTGAAATTTAAACCAGTAAATATAAATTAATGGTTGTTGTTATTGATAATTAAATATCACAAAAATCAAAACTAACTAAAAATTACCTCGATTTTTTTCCTTTGTTCATAAAATGATGATTATTATCATCGTTATTATAATGTTTATTATTATTTAAAAAAGACATCAAAAGAAAATCCCGAGTATTGTTCTGTGTATCTTGTAGCAATTCCAAGTCATGAAGAAGGTGGGAAAACATCTATATGGACAAATCGTGCTACTTATTCTGCCAATATTTATATTAAACATCCAGAAACTTTCCTTGAAATAAAAAAAGCAACTTTAGACACTACAAAATTCTCTGCCATAAAACCATTAAGAGGTAAAAATAAATAAATGTTACTATTATGATTACTATCATGATTTTTAATAATTAATTAACACCTATTATTATAATATAACACATTTGTTTATTTATTAAATAAAGGTTGGAACCGTTTTTGTAAAAAACAACTACTACCTTCTGATCAAATAATACTTGGGATTGAATTTGATAAAACAGAATTTGGTACTCGTGACGAAAAACCTATATTTCCTGGTAATGGTAAGCCTTTTCCTGATGATTTGGTTACTGCTTGGACAGATCAATTGAACAAAGCAGAGTATGCTGATGTAGAATTCATAGTACAAGACAAATCAATATACGCAAATACTGCAATCCTCACTAAAAGGTCAGAATATTTTCAAAGAATGTTTGAAGGCAAATGGATGGAATCCATCACTCAAAATCAAAACGATGATAATAATAATAATCTTGTACAATTGGATCCACAAAACCAAAACCAAAACCAGGGTCAGGACCAGGACCAGGATCAGGATCAGAACCAAAATTTAAATAATAGTACTACTAATAATATTATTCATAACAATAATAATAATAACCACAACCACAATAGTATCAACCTTCTTAACCTTAATAGAATTATTATTAGTAGCAGAAATAATAGGAGTAGTGGCAGCGGCAATAGTAACAATAGCAATGGCAACAGCAACAGCAATAGCAATAGGAATAGTCTTGTTAGTAATATTAATAATGATATCAATAATGATAATCATATAAATAATGATAATCATATTAACAATGATAATATTGTCACTATTAATAATAGTAATAATAATATTAACGATACCAATCTCATCCATCATATTAATCATACTAATCACAACGGCAGTACTAGTACTAGTACCAATAATAATAGTTTTATTAAGATTAACGATATCAATCTCACCGATCACACCAATCGCAACAGCAGTACTAGTACTGGTACCAATAATAATAGTATTATTAATAGTAATGACATCAATCACACTAATCATACTAATCAGGACAACAGCACTGGTGCCAATAATAATATTGTTAATGACATCGATCACACTAATCATATTATTCAAGAGAGCAGTACCAGTACTAGTCCCAATAATATTATTAATGACATCAATCACACTAACTATACTATTCACAACAGCAGCACTAGTAATACTAGTACCAATAATACAAATAACGACAATAATAACAACTATAATAACAACAACGACGACGATGACGACGACAACAACAACAACAGTGGTGGTGGCAATAATAATTTAATTAATGGTAACGGTTTGATTTTATCTCACAGACGAAGAAGATTTGCAGAGAGTGACAGTGACGTCGAAGAAGATGAAGAAGAAGATGACGATTCTACAACTAGTAAATCTTTTTCCGGTCACAAATCAAAAAAAATAAAAAATGAAAGAATAGTTATCAATGTCACAGATTTTCACCCCGACACCTTTTTAGAAATGTTAAGGTTTCTATACACTAATCGTGTCACATTTGGCCCAAAAGATTCTCCAACATCTGCCGTAAACCTTTTCAAAATTGCAGACAAATATCTGATAGAAAATCTACAACAACATGCAAAAGTTAAGCTTTGTAGAGGTGTCAACATCAATAATGCTGCAGAATTCCTATTCAGTACTGCTTGGCAATACGACGAATTAAGAGATCATGTAATGAATTATGTTGTTCAAAATTTTCAATCTGTTTCAAAAACAGAAGGCTTCAAAATCATTACATCAAATACTTCAAAATATCCATTATTTCACGATTTGTTAACTGAAATTTTACATAAATTTTTTGATGGTGATTCTGATGGTATTGATAGTTGTTGATTTTTATTGAATATAGATAGAAAGTGAGAATGCGTATATAGTTGAATTAAAAAATTTGGTGCAAAATATATCACAACGAAAAAAAATGAAAAAAGAATCATTAGTTTGGATTTCAACATGTTCGCGTTAAATGCTAATATAATATTTTAATATATGAGTTGTCTATTAAAAAAAAATTTTTTTTTTCTCTATTATTTTGTTTATATATATATATATTTGAAATTGTGATATATCTTTTAATCGAGATTCTTCTTCAATTTTCCTCAACTTCTATAGGCGAATGATGTCCAATACCATGTTCCAAGTCAGATTGGCATCGTATTACTATTTATTGTTTACTATTTTACTTTTTACTTTACTATATTATAAAAATGAAGTAACTTCAGCTCTTATTTAAAATCTTGTATATCGTGCATATCATTTCCGAGGATAGAAAGATTGTTTGCTTTGTATTAATATCCATTGATAACAAGCTTACAACTGAGGACGCAATACAAGCTTTTGCTACGCGAGAACAAAAATTCATTTATTTTAAGCTGGGTTTGAATTTCATCTTTGCCGCAAAAAGCAAAAAAATGACATCATTCAGGTCAAGACAATAGTCTATTTTATTAAATTCAAAACATATAAATAGGACAGCCATTCCCTCTTTTTTTTTTTTTTTGAAAAACTTGAATATTTTCATCAAACAAAATCGGATCTTAATCATCCTCAAAAATGATGATTCATTGTTGTTTGCTACTTGTTGCTATAATAATAACGCCTTCTCATAATTGATGGATCATCATATATTACAAATGTAATCTAAATAAACAATTGTAATCTAAAAAAATAAAAATCAAAATAATTCAATAGAAAAAGTAGGGTTGACGATGGGTTGCGAGTTTGTGGAAGTAACTGTTAAATACAAGATGTATGACAATGCACAAAGCTTCCAAAGAATTTGGTAAAATATACTATTGTTATGTGATCGTCAATTAATGCAATATGGATTTTTTTGAAAAAAACGTTGGTGAATGGACATGCAAGAATGTCTTAAATCATTACAAAGAAAATGATTCACAACTTACTCTCAAGCAAGCACTCGATTCGATCAATAAGGATCTCAAACGAATTTCAAAATATGACTCTGATGCAAAATGTAGAGAAAAAGCAGAGTCTATAATCGTCAACTGGAAGGTATGTTTACAAAAAAAAAAACAGTGAAGAGGGAGAAGGTTAGAGTATGGTCAAGCTGTACACTCTTGGTCAATCAGTGATGAACTCTTGGTTCATACCTACTCTAACTTTGGCAGAAGCTGAACAACTCTTGGTTGTTTGGTTATGAACTCTTGGTTCCTGCAAAGCCGTACACTCTTGGTCAATCGGTGATGAACTCTTGGTTCGACATTCTCCCTCAAATCCCTCAAATGATTCTGACACAGTGCATCTAATTTTTAATCTATTGCTTAGGAATGGACCAAAGATATAAAGAAAAATAACAGGATGCAAGATAAGGATACCGGCTGCAACTTTTGATGATGGTTGCTACCATCTTTGCGTCATATAAAAACGATTGCAACCACTGGT